CTCTCTTTGTCTCTCTCTCTTTCTCCTCTCCCCTTCTCTCTCTCTGTCTCTCTTTTGGTGTCTCTCTTTCTCTGTTTCTCTCTCCTCTCATCTCTCTCTCTCTTTTCTCCTCTCCTCTCCTCTCCTCTCTCTCTGTCTCTCTCCCTCTCTCTGGAAGCTGGCTCATCACTGGGAGAGGGGCACTGCTCCCAGGTCCCCAGGCTGCAGGGACCTCCTCCAAGGGTATCCGAGACATGTTCCAGTTCAGAGAGCGAGGCTGTGCTTCCAGCAGGTCCACACTCAGAAAGACAGAGGGGACAGAAAGCTGGTAGGAAATGTGTCCCCTCTTGGCCTGGCCCACTCCAGTCGCAGCTTTCATTCGTTCAGCCAATACTGATTGCCAGGCTCTGTTGAGAGACCTGGGTTACATCAGTGACCCACACCCCAAGATCTTCATCCTCGAGGGCTCCTGCTCTTGTGGGGGCACTCATCTGGACTTTCCGAGGTGGGGTGGCAGCCCTGCCTACCAGCATCCTCAGGGACCACTCAGATCCCAACTGAAGCACTCCCAGTTGTTGAAATGACCCACTGCTTTGGAGGCTCAGATGCGCCATGGGCACATGAAACATGCTACAAACAGGTGACTTTTTCCCTATGAGGTTTGCTAGATCTAATTGTTGCAACTGATCTTTAGTGATAAAGTTCACAGGACAGAGGAGACCACGTATGACTCTGCTCTAGCCAGGGCACCTTTCCTCATTACCCGGGAGAAATAGTCTCTTGGTCATGTCAGTACTTTGAGTTTGTATGACTTGACAGGTGATATTGGATTTCAGTGTATTGGTGGCCTGGATCATACTTTGAGATTGGATAATTTGGAAGGACAAGTTAAAGGAAGAAGCTGTCTCTTTCCACCCTACTCAAAGAAATGAAAGGAGAAATAATAGTGACCACCAACTGTCAAGCTTGGCATTGAAGCATCCCATTGGAAGCACACGTGGTGCCCCAGCCACAGCATGACCGGGCTTTGGCCCTCCATCCTGGGGGAGCTCTGGCTTCCTTCCATGGCCATTTGCCTTGGCTTGCTCACCCAGACGCAAGCAACGTTCGGAGCTGGAATGCGGATCAGAGTCATGAGAACAGGCTGAAACCCAGCGCCACCACGAGCCTGTGCATGAAAATGTATGTCCAGAGAGCAGCCTGAGAACATGGCTGCAGGTGAGGGCAGGACCAAGCACTAGAGTCAGAACTCCCAGGGTATCCAAGGGCCTGGAGACAGTGCAAGCCTCCCCGTGTCTTGAGGGTCCTAAAGGAGGCTCAGCAGGAGCTGGAGAAAACCAGGCAGAGCAGGAGAAATGGAGACAGTTCAGGGAAGGGCAGGGCATGTGCCCAGAAAGGTAGCCGGCCTTCCTGCCATGGAAAGAAGGACCTGAACAGGAGTGGGGCCGTGGGATCCTGGCCCATGTGCTCCCTGGTGGCTGGGACGGTGGTGATGCCAGGCATTGGACAAGGTTCTACCCACCTGTGGGACAGGAGGAGCTGCTGGGCCCCAGGGCAGCCAGGACCCAAACACACAGGGGGCTATGCCCCTGCCCAGACTTGCCAGCTAAACTGCAGAGCTAAATCCCAGGCTGAGGTGTGCTGTGCTCAAATGCTGCAGGGGCACTGCTGGAGGAAGCTGACCTGATGAATTCTGATGTCACCACCCTCCTCAGTCGCCAAGTTGAGATGAACACCTGACCCAGCCTCAAGGGTCTGGTGGAGTCCTCCCACCCAGGAGACTGTGGTGCTCGGGCGCTCACTCTTGTGGTGTTTAAGCACAAGTTCACTCTAATATGCCATGGATCTCATGTTTTAGGAGTGAACAAGAGGTCAGAGGCATGGAGTCAAGTCACAGGGCTCTGCAGACTTCCCTCGAGCCAGGCTGCCTCCTGGTCTTGGGGGTCAGATTCTGCTAGTCACTTCCTTGCTCTGTTCTTTTCTGTTATGACTCTTCATGTAGCCTTACCATTTCTCTTTCTGTGTCCACAGCAACCGTGGCAAACGTCAAATGAAGTTATGATTAGGAAGTGTGGGGCGGTGCCAGCATTAGGGTTGTACATGCTTGCTCTGGGCACTGTGAGTCGTGCCATCAGTTGCGGGGTCACATTTGTGCTTCCTTTGGAGTTTTGCTTTTGTTTAGAGCCTGTGCTGACCTGGCGTGGCATGTACCATCCCACTCCCATCTCCTGCTGCCGCTGGGTCTGGTGGGTAGGGACCCACCCCCTCCATCCCTCCAGGTACAGCCCAGACCCCGTCCTGAGGCGCCCTGGGTCCTCCATTCACAGCAGATTCTTCCAGCTCTGGGAGGCACTTGGTTCTGAGTCCTGCCCCCTCCAGGAATACACTGGAAATTGTTGCTCTGAAGGATTCATAGAGAGTCCACTCTCAGTGGCTGGCGTGCCTCCCCACGCAGCTTCCATCACCAAGGCTTCCTCGCTCCTCCAGCAGAGGGCCTCAGTCTTGCACAGGAGACGTGTCCTGCGCCTTAGGGGACTGGAATTTCCTCTATACGTGTCTCTTTGGGTGGCTCAGGGCGTCACCCTGGATACTGGACATCCTCACTGAGGCCAGGGTGATGAGCAGGAGGTCTCATTAGCCATCGTCATTGGATGCACAGAACTCCATTGTAAATGCAGGGGCAAGCGACTTGCATGTCAGCCATGTGGCACCGGGCACTGGCTCCTAGCTCCCATGTTGTCCTTCCCCTGGAGTCATGCTGTCTCAGAGTTTGTGTGGACCCTGGGAGGGGTGGGCCTGCCACAGGGAGCTCCCAGCTCATTCCCATGGACAGAGCAAGCCCTGTCACCTCGTGCCACTATGGCCTGGATTCCATCAGATCATCTGTAGCTAGAAGCTTGTGTGCTTCTGTGACCGTCTAGATAGCGCTTTCTTCCAGGAGAGCACAGGGGACCTTCTGTGGGACCAGCATCTGTGTGGACTGTCCCCGAGTCAGAGTACATAGATTTGAAGCTGCTTATTCAAGCCTAATCACCCCATCAGTCGGCCTTTCTGGCTGGGTCTGCAGTCACGTGACTGTGGTCATGCCTTACTTCACACCATCCCAAGTGCCAGTGCTTCTGTACACAGTGGGAACTAACTTGGGTGATTCTGGAATAAAACTAGCCAGCCACACCCGCACCCATCTCCATTTTAGCTGTATTTTCCTTCTCACATGTTATAAGAGAACCGAGCTTCATTCCAGCAAACAGACCTGCCGCCTGTGACACGGAGCCCTCAACACAGATGGCGGGAGGCAGAGTGACTGGTGTGTCTGATCTGTGGGCTGATACCTGTAGGTTTCCTCGTTCCACTGGGAACCCTGAGCACGGGCTTCTGTCTGTGCCGTTCTAAGGCTCCCAGATGCTGTTGTCTGCATGTGGCAAAAGGTGTGGGGGTGTTGGTGAACCTGTGCCTAGAACCCTCGGCTTCACATCTGAGCCATTCTCTCAAGGGGGAGCCTGGGTGACATAGTGTGTAGATGCCCTTGAGGGCCTGTGACTCATGGAGCCCACGTTCAGTCTGATTTAATGGTCCTGCGTGATTCCTGCTGTTATCCCAGAAGGGAACCAGAGCATCTGCCACATTGCAGAGGCGGCTGGCAGGTGTGCGCCTGCAGACCTGCCCCGTGGCTCTCTGGAAAGATGAACTTGTCCTAATGGGCAAGTTATGAATACTGACAAGTTGTATCACAGGTGGTAGCAGTTCTCTGTGTGGAGGTACTGGTTTGGCAGTGTCCACAGCTGAGCAGGCTGAATGCAGCTACCGGAGAGTACAAAGGGCCTTGAATGTGTTGTCCAGGATGTTACTAAAGGGTGACTTATCCCTGGGAGAGCTGAGTCCCCAGCACGTCCCTAGGGTGTGTGGGTGGGGTGACATGTCCAGACCACACACAGGAAGCCCAGGTCCCGTCATCACACACCTCTAGCAGAGCAGCCTCTGCCCTTGTTTCTGTCACTGTGGGGTCGGAGGGGGTTGCTAGAAGGGTTTGCCCGCAGTGGCTGATGTCCCAGGTTGCAGAGCAGTTGCTGAGCAGTGTTCCTGACGTCTCAACGCTTCCTCTTTGTCTTGTCTGTAAACACTGCAACAAGGAGTCTTTGCCACAAGCACGAGTGCCCTGCCAACACCCCCGTCCTTCCCCCCAGGGTTTCTGATGCCCCCATACCCTTCCCCAAGGTTCCCGATGCCCCCATCACCCTCTCTGAGGTGCTAACACCCCGTCCCCCTCCCTGGGGTGCCCGACACTCCCGACCCCCTCTCTGCAGTGCCTGGTGCCCTCCTCTCCTTCCCTGAGGTGCCTGATGTCCTCATCCCACTTCCTGGGGTGCCCGATGCCCTTGTGCCACTCCCAGGGGGCCTGACAGCCCCATCCCCCTCCCTGGAGTGCCTGCTGCCCCCATCCCCCACCCTGGGTTGCCCAACACCCCCATTCCTCTCCTCGGGGTGCCCAGCGCCACCCTCCTCCTCCCCGGGGTACCCAACACCCCCATCCTCCTCCCTGGGGCGCCTGATGCTCCCATCCCCCACCCTGGGTGCCTGGCACTCCCATCTCCCTTCCTGTGGTATCTGATGCCCCAATCCCTCTTCCCAGGTGCCCAATGCCACCATCCCCCTGCCCAGGGTACCCAACACCCCTGTCCTTCCCTGAGGTGCCCAATGCCCCCATCCCTCTGCCCAGGGTGCCCACTTGTTAAGTCCTACCCATTTTGGGCCTGCTCCCCAGAGCCTGGGAGAGCTTGGAGGTGATCTCTTATGGGATATCTGAGATGCTTTTTCATATATTGACCTCAGAACTCACTTTCCCATTTTTATTTTCTTGGGGTTAATGCTCCAAAGGCCGCCTCAGGTCAGACTTTCCAGAATAGTCATTGCCGAGAGTCTAGCCAACAGCTTTTGTGTTGTCAGAATGCACTGAAACATGTGTGTAAAATAATTAATGCTGCCACATGCTTGATGGAAACTGACACCTTCTTGTTGCACAGGAACTTGACGAGGGGTGTCGGGAGGTTCCGGGAACTTCTCAGAGCAGTGGAGACGCGGACAACACAGAACCTGCGGATGGTGAGTGCGCCTGTGGAAGCTGGGCAGAGGGCCCCAAGCTCGGGCACATCTGCGTGTCCGTTTATAATATGGAAATAGCACTTTACCCACTTAAAGCTGCTAGTGGTTTAGCACACTTGTGGAGTTGCACAGCTACCACCAATGCGTAAGATTAGAACACTGTGCCAATCCCTGAGAAGCTCCACACTCATCACAGTCAGGCCCCCCTTCCCTGGCCTAGCAGCCCCTAATCCACTTTCCACTTCTGGGATTTGGGACATTCCCTGTGAACCGTATCACATTCTGTGGTGTTTGGTGCCCACCCCCCTTGCCTGGCATGTGCTCTGCGGCTCCTCTGGGTGGCCACTGTGGCAGTGGTTCTTCCCTTTTTATGACCAAATCATGTTCCATCGTGTGACACATCACATTTTGTTGACCTGTTCATCAGTTGCTGACACTGGGTTGTTTCTGGACGATGACAAACAATGCTTCTGTGAACATTCATCCATGAGTGTCTGTGGACACACACATCCCTATCTTGGCAAATACCTGGAGGTGAACTCACTGGGTCACGTGGTAACTCTGTGTTTAGTGCTCAGAGGAACACCAGACTGCCATGGTCCCTTCCCACCAGCAGGTGAGGGTCCCACTCCCTGCGTCTTCTCCAACACTCACTATCGTCTCTGGGTGTCGCCTCCTAGTGGGCATGCAGGGCGGCCCACTGTGGTTCCAACGGCACCTCCCCACCGGCTGATAATGTGCTCACATGTTCTCTCTGGGAACTCGAGAAACACATCCATGAAGGCAAGTGGGATGTCGGCTGCCCGGATGTCAGGTGTGGAAGGGTCTTCTGTGCCTAGGACTGCTGCCAAGTCCGACGCTGGGTGCTTGTTGTCTGCCAATTTTATTGCCGTGAAACTTGGTGGAGAAATCTAAAACAGTTCCTTTCCCAGCTGATGAGCATCCTGGCCATTCTGTGACACAGCGCTCACCTCAACTTCCCACGGGGGACCATCATCGTTTCCACCTCTGAGTGTGCCCTCAGGGTCACTGCCTGGGGGTGTCTGGGTAAAGGCGCTTTCTGGAAGATGAGCAGGTGCCACTCATCACAGTGCTGTGGCAGCCATGGGAGACTGCGCCTTCTCCTATCTTGTCATCCATGCTACTGTGTTTAACCACGAGTCGTCATGTGCTGTGGGAGGATCACTCAGCTGAGCATGGCCGAGAGACTTGTGTTCTAGGAAATGAAGCCATGACTCCATGTCGATGTGTCTGGAGTTTTGGGGTGTAGACACACACTCATGGGGCCAAACAGCCAACATGCAGGCTTGCCTGGAGTTATAGGGCTGAGGGTTGGATGGGGGAGCAGCTTCACACATACACACACACACATGCTCATGCATACTCACTCATACAGTCACACACACAGTCAGACACGCACACATACACACTCATAGTCACACACATGTATATAGTCACATATATGCTCACATGCTCACACACAGTTGCACACACCCACACACACTCAGAGTTGCACAGTCAGATGCCTGCACATATAGTCGCATACATAGTCACCCACATAGGCACATACATGCTCACACACATACACACAGTTGCATACACACAGTCACATACACGCTCATACTCTTGCACATACTCAGTCACACACGCAAGTCACATACATGCTCACATGCTCGCACAGTTGCACTCGACACACATACATAGTCACACATGCTCACACGCTTGCACATACAGTCATACAGTCACACATAGTCACACACATGCTCATATGCTCACAGTCACACTCACACACATGCTCACACATTTGCACATACAGTCACACACAGACACAGTTACATGCACGCTCACACACTTACAGACACACACATAGTCACACACACCCACACACTCACAGTTACAGCCACACACAGTTACATGCTCACACTTGTACACGCAGACACACACACATAGTCACATACATGCTCACGTACAATTGCACTCAGTCACACACAATCACAATGCTTACACACTTGCATAGTCACACTCATACATACACACATGCTCACATGCCTGCACATAATCACAGTTGCACACTCAGACACATGCAAAGTTGCACATGCTCACATGCTTATGCACACACAGTACACACAGCCACATGCTTGCACAATCACACACAGTCACATGCTTACATACTTGTACACACTCAAGCAGTCACACACACTGCATATAGTCACACACACTTACACCTGCACACAAACTCACACAGTTGCACACATGCTCACATACTTGCTTACACAGTCACACATGTATGTTTGCACACAGTCACACACACATAATCACACACACTCATGTTTACACAGTTACATGCACAGTTGCACATACAGCCATACACAAGCTTACACACTCTCACAGTCACACACAGCCACACACTAACACACTTGCACACACATACTCACATGGTAGCACAGTCACATGCACACGGTCACACACATGTTTACACATTTGCACAAGCACAGTTGCACACAATCACACACACACAGTCATGTACTCATGCACACATAGTGACAGATGCTTGCACGTTTCCACACACTCATAGCTGGTCACACACATGCACAGTCACACTTGCTCACAAACATGTGCACAGTCACACAAAGTCATGCACACATAATCACACATGCTCATGCATTTGCACATACTCACACAGTTGTACACACAATCACACACATGCACATTTAGTCACACACACGCTCAGTCACACACTCACATAGTGACAGACACACGTTTGCACATACACAGTTGCACACAGTCACACGCATGCACATATAGTAACATAGTCATGCACGCACACATGGTGACAGACACGTTTGCATGCACTCACATAGTTGCACACACTCAGCCACACACATGCACATATAGTCGCACACACTCACACACTGACAGTCATATATACATACACAGTCACACACTCACACACTTGCACAGTCACACACACAGTCACGTACGTGCACATGCATGCAATCACATCGTTTACATGTTTGTGCACACACAGTCAACACATGCATAGTCACACATGCTTACACACCCACAGTCACACACACATGCACAGTCACACATACACTTGCACAGTCACATGCACACATAGTCACACACAGTTGTACACACACAGTTGCACATGCTCAGTCACATGCATGCTCACATGCTCGCTCACAGATACATGCACAGATACAGTCACAGACACATGCACAGTCATACCCATGCTCACACACTTGCACACAGTCACACACACTGTCACGTGCAAGTGGACATAGTCACATGCTCACATGTTTGCACACACAGTTGCACATGCACACTTACACATACACTCGCACATAGTCACAGTCACAAACATGCACACAGACACAACCATGCTCACCCACAATCAGACACACTCACAGTCACACACACATACACTCACATACATGCTCACACTCTCACACACCCCACCTAGAACTCACTTGACCCTTAACATTTACTTGTGTATTGATGTGGTTTTAGTGCCTTTATAATTTCAAACAAGACATTTCGATGTTTAGGGTTCTTTGGGGCAAAAGAACCTGTGGGACTGTGGATACAAATTGTTCCCAGATGTCTTCTCTCTCACACTGACCTGCCCAGCAGTCACAAACCCTCTCTTCTGGGCAGTGTGGCTGGCTCCTTCCAGGACTTGCAGCACAGGGAGAGTTTTTGATTTAACCGGCCCGTGCTGTCCTAACTGTTTAAAAGCACATTTTAGAAGCCAGCCTTTCCCACTTGCTGCAACAGGGCACATCTTCCTGCTGTGGACTCTCAGGCATGTGTGTTTCCTTAAGAAAACACATCGTCTGTCCCCACTGGGAGGTGAGAGCCCTGAGCACAGCAGGACCTGCCTCTGCTCACCCATGCTGTCCTTCCAGGTCAAGAGTTACTGCCGTGGTCATCTGAGATTCGTGTATCTTAGCTTTTAGAACACCAGGAGGCAGGATTCTGAATCGAGACATGCTAGGAAGGTGGGGGGAATCTCCCCAATTTTCTTCTGAGATGCGGTGATGAGTCCCTAGAGATCATCTGGGTAGACAGATGAGCCGCTGGGCGTCCTGCTGTCCACATTCACATGAAGGAAGATACCAACTCCTAACATGGCCCTGAGGTGCAGTGTACCTTTGTCTTGGCTGGTGGTCTTCAAGTGACCTCATATAAACTGGTTCTCATTGCATGGGTACTTCACCAAAGACATGCATCTGAGGAACTTTGAACAAATACACACTTCTATGCCCAACCTCAGAAATTCCATGGAGTAGGTCTGGGGCAGGTCCTGAGGGTCTGTTTTCTAGAGCTTCTGCAAATGATTTCTAGTCTACCCCAGTCAAGAAGCACTTCCTGGTCTTGGTGTACACTGGACATCAGAGACATTCTTCAGCTAATGCTATTCCTAAGACACTGTTTCCAGCCAGGCATGGTGTCTTACTCCTGGTAATCCCAGCACTTTGGGAGACAGAGGCAGGAAGGACCCTTGAGCCTAGGAATTTGAGACCAACCTAGGCAACATAGCAAGACCTCATCTCTACAAAAAATAAAAAATTAACTAGGTGTGGTGGTATATACCTGTAGTCCCAGCTACTTGGGAGGCTAAGGCAGAAGTATCGCTTGAGCTCAGGAAATCTAGGCTGTGGTGAGTCATGATCATACCATTGCACTCCAGCCTGGATTTCAGAATGAGACCCTGACTCAAAAAAAAGGGAAAGAAAAGAAAAAGTATATTTCTATCACCTTAATAACTATGACTCTTTTTAGATTTGCTGATAATTGCAAATGTATGATATTCTTATCAGATGGAAAAGTTGCTTTGTAAACTCTATCTGGCATGAGACCATAGCAGAGAAGGACTTAAAAGTACATTTACAGCAATTCCACTCCTAGGTATATACCCCAAATAACTGAAAATATGTGTTCAAACAAAAACATGCACGTGAATGTTTGTAGTAGCTCTAGTTGCCACAACCAAAAGGTGGAAGCAATCCAGATGTCTAGAACCGGTGAGTGGACAAACAAAACGTGGTGGATCCCACGGTGGAATATCATTTAACCCTCAAAAGGGGTGAGGGGCTGATATGTACATAGCATGGGTGAGCCTGAGAACATTATGTGGGTAAGGAAGCCAGTCTCAAAAGACTCACATTGTGTCATTCTGTTTATACAAAATGTCCAGGACAAAGAGCACACTCGTTGTTCCCAGGGTCTGGGTGGAAGTGGAGTGATTGCTTAAAGGGTTTCCTTTTGGGTAACGAGAATTTCTGGAACTGGGTAGTGATGATGGTTGCAGTGCTGTGAGTGCACTGAGTACCATGGAGTTGTCCACCATAAATGGTGAAGGTATGTGACGTGAGTTATGCCACAAATGCTAAACACACACACAAGTGTGTTTAACGATTAGGTCTGTGCATAAACATCCAGACCTCAGATCAGGCCACTCTTCTCCTTTTCCTCCTTTAATTCTGAATTTATTTTATATTTTCCAACAATTTTAATGCATTTGAACATAGAGGTTGAATGTAAAAAAGTAAAAGTGTCATGGCCGTTGGCATCCTATTGGCATTTCCCTCCCTTGTCTCCTTTTCTGAACTTCGTGGAGCGTTCCATGGCCACAGCCACCGTCCTTCCTAATCGGCTGTGCCCTGATGAAGCGATTTCTCTCTAAAATGTGCAGTCCCATCAAAACCCCATTTACAGATCCCTTGGGAAAGTTGATGCCCTGAGAGAAAATGAGATGAACCTGATCACCAGCAGTGAACTAACAAACTGTCCAGGACAGAAACATTTGCAGCCTCAGAGCTTGTCCACAGCAGATCTAGCCAGAAACTGCAGTTCCTTGTTTGCTCTCTTTGTCTCTACGTTTATTTCTCAGCCATCACAAGCAGAAGGTATCTTGCCAGTGGACGTTTCCAGCAGAATCATTAGTGTCTATGGCTGCTGTGAGATTGGAATGCAACTCTAGTGGAAGGTTCAGGAAAAGAGTGCAGGGATTGTTGAGGCCCTGAGAATCGTGTTCTTATGAGAGCTTTACAGATTGCTCAACTGGGGATGCTCAGAGAGCGTTCAATTTCCCATTTTTATAGACATTTAAAGCCAATGGGTCTTACTGGGGAATAATCAAGAAAATATGCCATTACCCATTGGTTATCAGAAACCACCAGGCCAGTGATTTGCTGGCATTAAAGTTTCCTTGTGGAGTTTCAAGAGATTTCTTGCAGATGGAAACTTAGCAAAGCTCTTTCCTGTAACATGTTTATTGAAGAAAGGCTCATTCTCAGAAGATCGCATTCCTCATCTACAAAGAACTCTAAAGTCTGTGGAGCCTCTGGTGGTTGAGGACTAACTGGGCCACCCCTGGCTCATCATGGGGAGTGTGAATGCCCCAGAATGCAATGCTTGTGTTTTCAGAGAGATTTTCTGAAATATTATAAATCCCCTTCTTTGTCACAGGAAGATTATGAGCTAAGTGAACGGACACACATCAGCCAACAGGACACCCCTCAGTCCATACCACACTCCCCCGTATATCATTCATGGTGCTGGCCTAGGCAGAGGGTTTGGGAACATGTGTCAGTCCACATCTGACTTAGGAGGACAAGGTTCAGTTGGTTCTGGGTTTTCCCCATCTGGCCCAAAGAAGCGTCTTTCCTGACCAGGACACACAGTCTCCACTTTTCCTTCTCTGTCTCCCAAGGCCAGTGGGAAGCTCAGGCCAGGAGACCCAGGGCATGCTTAGCACAGGTGCAGCGCCAACCCAAGGGGCAGAGCCATGCAGAGCTGGCTGTTGGTATTCTCAGAAGGAGAATCTTCTAAACTCTGCAGAGGACATCAGATTGTCAATAAGGAGATTTTTTTTTTCAAGGATGGCATCATATGCATTGAATTCTAACTTTTGCCAGGTTTGAGCATGAGCAGATACTGCTTAGGAGGTGATGAACACATCTGCAGTTCACTGATTATTTCCAAGAACTCTTAGAAGGGGCTTGGCTAAAAGTTTCCGTTTTAGGTATGAAACGTGTTGAGTGTTCTGGAGCGTATCAGGCAGGGTGGCACGAGGAGTGCCTGAATCTTCTTTTTAAGCCTTCAAATATCTTAATGTATCAGATTTCTTTTCTTTTTTTGTCATAAACTGATATTCTTTTCATCAACAAAGTAAACATTTTTAATTATGAGTCAGTCTTACAGTAGTGCTTAGCACAGAGCAATGATATTAATATCGAATGAATGAATGATCAATGTAGACTCACAGCTGTGCTCTCCCTCTGTGTCTTCAGACCATCGCCAGGCAGCTGGCGGAGATCTTGCTGCGGGGCATGTGTGAGCAGAGCTACTGGAATCCCCTGGAGGACCCACCGTGCCAGTCCCCGCTGGACGACCCTCTCCGGAAAGGCGCAAACACAAAAACCTACACGCTCCCACGGAAGGCACGCGTCTACTCCGGAGAGAAGTATGGAGGCCGCTGTCTTCACTCAAGGCTGGGGGGTGGGGGAGAAGCCGGGGAGTCCAGGGTGAGAAGCACAAGGGCAGATCCCTTTCCCTAAAGGAACATCCCAGGGGCAGGTCTCCTTTCCCATTGACAGACTTGTCTCGTGCTCACTGGCGCTCGGCAGGACCCAAGCATGGCAGGGATGTTCCAGGAGGAGGCCGCCTGTCTCCAGGCTGGGCTGTCACTGCATCATTCTGCTGGCCTTTGGGACGTTGGTCCTGTGTATTCCAAGAACCAGCACTGTCCAGCATCGAAGACAGGGCTGTCCATAAGCATTCATTCCTTTCTTCAGCAATGCCTTGATCCTTTTCTTTAAAACTCTTCTTTTAAACTGAACCGAATATAAGAAGGACTGGAAGTAACTGGAAGGCAGTGTCTCCTTAGAATTTCTTTATCTTTTTAAGTTTTAAATTTAGGACTTGATCACCTTGGAGAAAAATGGGCCAGAGAGCCCCCACAGTCTCAATAGGACTTGGGTGGGAGGAAGCAGGACATGTGAGGGAAAAGCAGGACATGGGTGGCAGCAGAACACACGTGGGGAAAAGCAGGACACAGGGGGCAGCAACATATGGCGGAAGAAGTTGTACAAAGGGGGCAGCAGGATATGGGGGGCAGCAGGACACAGGGGTAGGAGCAGCAGGACAAGGGGGGCAGGGGAGAAGCAGGACATGGTGGAGCAGCAGGACATGAATGGGCCAGAACATAGAGGGGCAGCAGGACATGGGGGGGCAGGAAGACACTGGGGGATAAACAAGATGCAGGGGAGGCAGCAGGACAGAGTAGGCAATGGGACATGAGGAGTCAGTGGGTCACAAAGGGGCAGCAGGACACGGGGGAAGAAGCAGGTCACAGGGGAGCCAAGCAGGACTCAGGAGTGGCAGCGGGGCATGGGGGAGCAGCAAGACACAGGGCGACAGGACACGGGGTGGGGGGGAGGAAGCAGGACATGTGAGGGAAAAGCAGGACATGGGTGGCAGCAGAACACACGTGGGGAAAAGCAGGACACAGGGGGCAGCAACATATGGCGGAAGAAGTTGTACAAAGGGGGCAGCAGGATATGGGGGGCAGCAGGACACAGGGGTAGGAGCAGCAGGACAAGGGGGGCAGGGGAGAAGCAGGACATGGTGGAGCAGCAGGACATGAATGGGCCAGAACATAGAGGGGCAGCAGGACATGGGGGGGCAGGAAGACACTGGGGGATAAACAAGATGCAGGGGAGGCAGCAGGACAGAGTAGGCAATGGGACATGAGGAGTCAGTGGGTCACAAAGGGGCAGCAGGACACGGGGGAAGAAGCAGGTCACAGGGGAGCCAAGCAGGACTCAGGAGTGGCAGCGGGGCATGGGGGAGCAGCAAGACACAGGGCGACAGGACACGGGGTGGGGGGGAGGAAGCAGGACATGTGAGGGAAAAGCAGGACATGGGTGGCAGCAGAACACACGTGGGGAAAAGCAGGACACAGGGGGCAGCAACATATGGCGGAAGAAGTTGTACAAAGGGGGCAGCAGGATATGGGGGGCAGCAGGACACAGGGGTAGGAGCAGCAGGACAAGGGGGGCAGGGGAGAAGCAGGACATGGTGGAGCAGCAGGACATGAATGGGCCAGAACATAGAGGGGCAGCAGGACATGGGGGGGCAGGAAGACACTGGGGGATAAACAAGATGCAGGGGAGGCAGCAGGACAGAGTAGGCAATGGGACATGAGGAGTCAGTGGGTCACAAAGGGGCAGCAGGACACGGGGGAAGAAGCAGGTCACAGGGGAGCCAAGCAGGACTCAGGAGTGGCAGCGGGGCATGGGGGAGCAGCAAGACACAGGGCGACAGGACACGGGGTGGGGGGGAGGAAGCAGGACATGTGAGGGAAAAGCAGGACATGGGTGGCAGCAGAACACACGTGGGGAAAAGCAGGACACAGGGGGCAGCAACATATGGCGGAAGAAGTTGTACAAAGGGGGCAGCAGGATATGGGGGGCAGCAGGACACAGGGGTAGGAGCAGCAGGACAAGGGGGGCAGGGGAGAAGCAGGACATGGTGGAGCAGCAGGACATGAATGGGCCAGAACATAGAGGGGCAGCAGGACATGGGGGGGCAGGAAGACACTGGGGGATAAACAAGATGCAGGGGAGGCAGCAGGACAGAGTAGGCAATGGGACATGAGGAGTCAGTGGGTCACAAAGGGGCAGCAGGACACGGGGGAAGAAGCAGGTCACAGGGGAGCCAAGCAGGACTCAGGAGTGGCAGCGGGGCATGGGGGAGCAGCAAGACACAGGGCGACAGGACACGGGGTGGGGGGGAGGAAGCAGGACATGCGGTAGAGGGAGAGAAGCAAGACATGGTGGGGAGAAGTGGGACATGGGGGGAGAAGTGGGACACAGGGAGGGGAGAAGCGGGTCATGGGGGATGTAGTGGGACACGGGGAGCAAAGCAGGACACAGGGAAGTGAAACGGGACATTGGGGGGGCATAGTGGAACACAGGAGCAGCCGGAGATGCAGGGCAGTAGGACACGAGGGGGAGAAGTAGAACATGGGGCAGCAGGACACGGAGGGGAGAAGCAGGACACAAGAGGCAGCAGGACATGGGAGGGAGACGCAGGACACGGCGGGGGGGCAGCCAGACACAGGGGTGGGGGAGAAGCAGGACATGGGAGTTAGCAAGTCACGAGGGTGGACAGCAGGACACAGGGGTGGGAGCAGCAGGACATGGGGGGAAGGGAGAAGCAGGATACGGGGGGCAGCAGGACATGGGGGATCAGCAGGACACCGGGGGGTAGAAGCTGGAAACGGGGGAGCAGCAGGAGTAAGCAGAACATGGTGGAGCAGCAGGATGGAGTGGGGGGAGAGAAGGTGGGAGGCAGGCAGGATGCTCAACTCATCCCTGATTCCTCTCAGAGTGCCTTTAGCTCTGTCTGCCAGTTTCTCCAAGGACAGGCCTGATGGCTTCTCAGAGTCTATATGTGAAGGAAGGGGAACCCGGGTGACTAAATAGGAATATCTCTGGGTTTCACCAAATTGGAGAAGTGGCTAAGGGGCCACAGGCTGCTGCTTCTACAGTCCCCAACAAGTGTGGGGGGATTCCTATCTCCACGTGACCTCAGAAGGTGACTTGTGTTTCCCAGGGCTGATGTTCCCAAGGCCGCTCCTCTCCACTGTCCTCTGGAGTCTAGGTCTGGCGTCTCTCCCAGCTTGTGCTTCTTACATGGGTTCAGCTGAGTTACGTGTTCCCAGCTTTCTCCTGGGTGTGCTTTAATAGATGTTTCTTCCCCCTTTTGCTCTTCAGGCCTTATCTGGATTCATAAAACATCTGTTCTAGCAATTCCCACACTCTCCCTTTAAAAATATTGACCCACCTTATGAACTAGTTACTATCAGGTCTGGGCTGACATTTGCATCTTAAAATAGACCCTAGTGTGGTCGTTCACTTTAGATGCTTCTGAATGGCCAAGGTGCCTGGTGCATTCAGGAGTACAGTTTCCACGCTTCCCTCAGTCCTGTGAGACTCCTAGATGGAGTTCTGGGTGTCTCTGGGTGCTGTTCCAATGTGGCATTACCCCTTGGAGGCAGAGCAGCCCACATCTCCTCTGCCTCCCTCAACCACTCAAGCTTTGTCACTCTGCTGATGTCAGCGTCCTCTTTCCTGAAGAGAATCATGGGACAAATGCAGATCCTCAAGGGTCTCCCAAGCAAGCCTCCCCATGGGAGCACTGGTTACGGAGTCACACATTTTGTTTCACAAATACACTTGATTGGTTTTTTAAGAGCTGTTTTATTGAAACACAGTTCGCATATTATACAATTCACCATTAAAGTGTGTGTTTCAGTGGCTTTTAACATACTCACATAGTTGTGCACCCATCACCGGAGTCAACTTTAATACATTTCTGTTACCCCAACAATAAACCCAGCACCTCTTAGCTGCCACTTTCCTGCCTCCCAGTTCCTTGGATTTTCATATCAATTTCAGGATCAGTTTGTTTACCTCTGGAAAAACAAAACAAAACGGGAAGCTGGGATTTTGATAGGAATTACATTGAATTTGTAAGTCAATGTGGGGTGTGTTGCCATCTTTAAAATACTGTCTTCTGATCCACGAACATGAGCTGTTTCTCTATTTATGTTGTCTTTGTCTTCTTTCACCAGTGACTAATAGTTTTCAGGACATAAGGTTTGCATTTCTGTTGTTCAACTCACCCCCATGTTTGTGTTTGTGTGCTGTTCTTTTTGATGCTATTGTAAATGGAGTTGTTTTCTTCGTTTCATTTTTGGGTTATTCCTTGCCAGCAGATGGAAATGCTATTGATTTTGTGTATTGATCTTGTATACTGCAATCTTGCTGAACCCGTTTATTAGTTCTAATAGTTTTATAGATTCCTTAGGACTTTATATAGACAAGATCATGTCATCCTCAATAGTGTTACTTTTTTCTTCCTAGTTCAATGCTTTTTATTTCACTTTCTTCCCTAATTGCCCTGGCTAGAGCCTCAGTACAATGTGATAGATGTGGCCAGAACGGGCATCCTTGTCTCATTCCTGAGTCCAGGAAAGAGGAAGCAGCAGAACTCTCACCAGGTGTGAAATCTCAGAGATACCCGTCATCAGGTTAAGAAATTTCCTCCTGATTCCTACTGTGTTGAGTGTTTTTGTTATTAAAGGGTGTTGAATTTTGCCAACCACTTTTTTTGTATCAGTTGAAATGATGGTGTGGCTTTTACCCTTTGTTCTAATGCTATGACATACTACATTAATTGATTTTCAGATGTTAAGCCAACCTGCATCCCTGGGATAAGTCCCACCAGGCCATGGTGTCTAGTCTCTTTTTGTTTATTGCTGGGTTCTATTTTCTAATATTTTGTTGAAGATGTTTATATCATATTATAAAAGATACAGTTCTGTAGTTTTCTTCTCTCATGATGTTTTTGTCTGATTTTGGTGTTAGGGTAACACTGGCCTCACAAAATGAATTGGGAATGATTCTCTCCCTTCTGCTTTTTGAAAGAGTTGGTGGAGAATTGGTATTAATTCTTTAAGTGTTTGGTAGAATTCACCAGTGAAGCCAACTGGTCCTCGGCTTTTCTTTGTAGGAAGTTTTTTTAATACTAACTTAATCTCTTTACTTGGTATAGGTCTATTCATATTATCTGTTTTTTCTTGAGTCAGTTTTAGTAGTTGGTGTCTTTCTAGAAGTTTGTCTATTTCATCTAATTTGCCAACATAATAGTTGTTCGCGTTATTTCCCTTACAATTTTTTTTTAATTTCAGCAAGTTTGGCTGTCATGTTCCCTCTTCCATTTCTCATTTTAGTAATGTGACTCTTCTCTCATTTTTGGGTTCAGTCTAACTAAAAACTTGTCAATTTTGTTGATGTTTTGAAGAACCAACTTTGGGTTTTATTGATTTTTTTCTATTGTGATTTTGTTCTCTGTTTCATTAATTTCCACACTAATCTGTGCCCTCAGTCATCACCATCAGTCTTTGGCTTTCCAGTCTTGTGTGTTCAAACCCCCACTTCTTGGGTCTGCTCATCTGGGTTATCCTGTTGGGGCTGTACTTGTCTGCTTGTTCTCCATTGACAGCAGGAGTTGGCCAGTCCACGCCGGCAGAAGCATATGCTCACCCAATCAGCAGTGCCGGCTGAGGTGGAGAAGGGACCAGGCAGTGCCCCTCCCGTACTTTGGTCAACAGTCCCAGACTCACCTCTTCCCCTCAGTCTCTCATGTGAGGAAAGAGTAGGAAGAAACTTTAGATGGCAGAGAACCTCTGGCTCCAGCAGACCACAAGGACCATCCAGAATAAGTGGCCATTATTAATGCCGCAGGAAAGCCGGCTCGCCAGGAAGTGCTGCACCCTTCACCGCAACCCAGACGTGAAATGGGTGCAGGGTGCTCACTGTCTGCCGTTTTGATTTCCCTGAGAAATACAATGTGAGAATCCTGGGAAGAAAGAGAGGAGGGATTGTGTAGCATGAGCCTTCTTTTCTTACTTCTAGATATTTCTGCAGAGACTCTTACTGGCTTTTGCTTATTTATTTTTAGGATAAGCTTTCTAGTGACATAAAACATATGTAGAGAAAAAGAAACAAATTGAAAGTATAAAACCTGATGAATTTTCCCCACATGAACGTATCCACGTAAGGAGCGTCCTGATCAGAAAACAGACAAATTGTCAGTGTCCTGACAGCCCTCTGTCCTCTCCTGGTCACTACCTCATCCAAGGGCCACCCTCTCCTGGTCACAGTAATCAGTCTGGCCCACTTTTGAAATTTACATAAATGGAATTATGCAGTATCTACTCTTGTATGCTTAACGTCTTTTGTCTAACTTTATTTTTTTAGGTCAGAGTCATGTTTTGTTGCCCAGGCTGGAGTACAGTGGCATGATCATAGCTTGCCACAGCCTCAACCTCCTGGGCTCAGGTGATCCTCCCACCTCAGCCTCCCAAAGTAGCAGACAGGTGCATACCACCGTGCCCAGCTGATTTTTAAAAAAATTTTTTTTATACAGACAAAGTCTCGCTGTGTTGCCCAGGCTGGTCTAACTGTATATTTGAAAGATTCCCCCATATTTCTGCATGCAGCAGTGGCTTTATTCATTGCTGCAAAGTATTCCATTTATGACCATCCTCCAGGGCAGTGACCCATTCTACATGTGACAGATACAGGGGTTATTTCCCATTTGAGGTGAATAGGAACAGTGCTACTTGGACATTCCTGTACATGTTCCTTAGCATATGCAGGCGTGTGCTACAGTCAGGTGCATTTTTCCTTTCATTATGTTCCTCCTTGTAGAAGGTATTTGAGATGGCCCCGTTATCAAACGCATGTTAGACCCAATAATTAACACATAGTAGGCAGAAGTTTAAAATCTGCTGTTGTGGACAGTGGTTGGTACTGGTATTGCCAGGAGGTGGCCGCTGGTGAGCGTGTGCTCCCCTGTGTTCTGGGTCTGGAGGGAGAGTGACATTCATGGACACTGATTGTCCTGTTAGTTGGTAAATTCACCCAGAGTAAGAAAATGGGCAATTTGCCTGTAGGTCCCCGTGAGTTGGGGTGTGGCTGGGATGGCGACCACTCCTTCACCAACCACCCTTGATGCTTGCCCTCATACCTGTGTGCCCCCATTTTTTCCCAGAACCCTCTGTTTCTCACCTTGCCCTTCACCAGCTTCCTCTGAGTTTGGGGCCTCAGTTTCCCATTCTTTGAGGTACCCCAAGATCTCCCCCTGAGGCTCTTGGGTCCCACAGAAGGAAGGCCCTAACAGTTGACCTTTGACCCTGGGCTTCACACTTCCCTGAGCAAGGAGAGAGGAAAGGGTAGCCAGAAATGGGTAGAGGACCTGTCATTACTGAGAGGGGACATGCCCAGTCAGAGATCCTTGGATGCATCTCTTAAACTCCCCTTTGTTCCTGCATCTTCCTGGCACCCCAGGGAGGTCACGGTGCTCTTGGGGTCCTGCCATGCCTGTCATATAGGGAGGGTCAGGAAGTGGAGTTAGAATCACTTCATGTGTGGCTTGTGAACAGCTCTGGCAAAATCCCACAGCCCAGCATTTCAGCAGGCTGTTGGCTGAACTGGCTGGTATCAAGTCATGTGAGCATGGTGTCCTCTCCTAAGTAGACTGGACCTTGCAGAACTGGCTAACCATGGCAGATGGGGACACCATTGCTGTATTTTCAGGGTTCCAGTTGCGTGTCCGCACAAGCCAGGACTTCAGGACATGATTGCTGGGCATACACACACATACACATGCATCCACACACATGTGCATTCACACATGGGGTATTTGCAGGGAATGCTCAATTCAGAACCTTTCAACAATTCTGAGTTAGCGACAAGGAGCACTCCATCTTCTGAGCTAGTCCCCCATTGCCTCACCTGCCTTCTTCAGGAAGTCACCGCAGATCCAAGCCTTGCTCCTCACTCTCAGGGTAGCCTTTTCCTAGAGCCGCATCCCTGGCAGAGCAGCAGAGCATTCCAGGGCTTTCTTACCCAGTGACGGTGGAGCTGTGGGGAGCAGCCTAGGCCCTGCACTCTGTCTCTCCTGCTCTTCGCAGCCCTGTAATACCACACGAGCATCGCCAGCACATCAGCAAGAACAAGTGTTTATGATAATTTGGAAAACATGGTTTGCTGTTTTTTAGGGGGACGTCTCTTCAATTAAGAGATTGTATAGTTACCACAGGAAGATGTGCATTTTATCATTATTTAGTCATCTTCAGACCATCCAGGAGTTCTTTTCTACCAAGTTCATTTTTATATATTGCAAACTCTTCTGTTCCATGAAAAAAAAAATAGAGTTTGGCCCAGTTGGTGACAACACTCACAGTTCTACTGAAAGGATTCCAGAGCTTTAGAAGAGCAGGGAAAATGCTGCAAGTCTTTAAAAGTGCTCACAGCACAAAAAGTAGGGTGCAGAGCATGCAATCCAGGCTATGTTTGGGTTTCTATTGTTCTCCAGTCCTGGGCATCACTGAACCCAAAAGCTTTTTCTTTTAATCCAAGATTCTAGAGTTAGCCAAATTCCACAAAACAGATGAATAAGGCAGTTTGTACATACTACCTCATAGTAAAACATGTGCATTTAAGTTAGAGAGCTCGCTAGATTCTTCTAGTATCGGAGAACTTTTCAAACTCTAAACTTGCTTCCGGTCTCTTATTTCATCTAACTGGCAAGATAGCATATGCCAGTCGGCAGGCAAGAGGTAAGAAGAGCACTGTGTAGTGAGCCATCTGCAGCTTATGACTCCCTCTGGGTTTGGAGAACACTCAGTTGACTGGAATCTAAGTTTGTGCCTCAGCAGTGGGTACGTATGTGAGCCGGGGTTTTAACTTGGTTTTTACACTTTACTGTAGCTGAAATGCGTGGCTAGAATATATTAATTCCATAGATGATGGTGGAAATAGGCAAACTCATTCAAGTATCCAAATTCTGTAGTACTTTCCACATTCTGTGCAACATCCCGAAGCCCTCAGCATCCGGCTCTGCTTGTACCTGTGTGTTTCTCGTTCCTCTGGAGCTGCCATCATCCAAGTCAGTTTTCTTTCCACAGCATCTTCTGTCCTCAGGAAAACACCGAGGAGGCCCTGCTGCTGCTGCTGATCAGCGAGTCCATGGTGAGTGAGGGCGCTCCTCCCTGCTTCTTCTGGCCCTGTAGGCCTTCTGGGGACAAGGCTGTTCCTCAGACTCTTTCTCGAGAGACAAGGCTTTCTGGAGGGAGGCCTAGGGGAAAGCAGCACAGGTTGAACGAGAAGACATATTTTGACTCTTGGACGGGCTGGCGGTGTCTCAGGACACCTGGAGCTTGGCGTGTCTCCTCTAGGTCCTGGTGCATTCGTTCACCTTGTGTGGGTTGAATACAGCACTGGCAGGACACAGCCACGATGACTACGAGGGAATCTGGAGAGGGGAGAAGCCCCAGAGGGTGGCCTTCGTGGAATGCTCAGCTCGCCCTGCTGGAAAGTGGTGGTGTAGGGCAGATCACGTGAGCTCTGGCATCTATGAAGGAGCCCAGGGGGCCACTCTATCCTGCCATCCGGCCCTGCTTGGAGGATGGGGAAGTAGGATAGGTCACATGGGCTCTGGTGACCACGATGGAGCCAACCATCCTGCCGCTCAGCCCTGCTGGGGGAGGTGGGATTTACCAGACCATCTGATTCCTTTGAAGCTTTTTCTCAGTGTTTGACTGTGACATGGAATTTAGGTTTAAAATGGCCTCCTTCGCAGCATGTTGGGCTTCAACTGTGTGAATTACTAGGTGTCTCCGACTCTTCTGCTGCTTAGCTGAAGTGATAGAAATGGATAATTCTCAGAAGTTGAGATCCCCTTAAGATTTGGCTCTCAATTTCCAGAAAAATCCCATCAGGGGACGTTGAAATCCAGTGAGGTCATCAGTGAGTGTGAACGGCTAAGCTTCTACCCAAATGATTACATTCCCTGTAAATCATTCGTACAATGTAAGGGAGAGATCTAAGTTGCCTTTGGAAGCCTTTTTTCATGTCTTTTGACTCCTTGATTTTTTTCAGTTTTTAGAGAGAAAATGAATGTGCTCAATTTTAGAACCAAAATGAAAATTGCTGTTTTCTGGATGTCTGAGAACATTGTGTTCCCTGAGGGTTCTGACTTTAGCGTAGAAGCATAGATGTGACCTTGTCTCTCTACCTGCAAGGGATCATGAACCCACACTGCTTTCCCATCCAAATGGTGTTTTTCCTCAGAGAAAGGGGTATCAGAGCTTGATTTGCACAATTATCACTAAGACAATATTCTGAGATATTTATTATTTGTGGATCTGTTTGAGTGTATTGTATCTTTTTAATCAAAGGATACTGGTACTTTCTCTGCAAATGAAAATTTATGTATTTGGTCTAACCTGAAAGTCTCTTGTAAATGGCATTTTGTTTGGTTTTGTTCTCTTCCAGGCTCTGGTCTTAGCCTGGAGCATTTATAGCAGATAAATAGAACGAGACCAGGGAGCAGGCCTTTCTTCCCAAGCCCCATCGGGCTCAGATGTCCCCCCAGCAAGAGAAGCTTAGGATGGAGTCTCAAAAGCAGCTGTTTCCACAGGGAGGCACTGGGTAGGGAGTGGCCTATCTCACATTGTCTCATTGTCTTTGACATTTAGGAGTTAGGAACTTTAAAGTAAGTCCTAATGGACAACTAGAAGTAAACACCTGGGACTCACCTCAAGAAGAAAGCGTTTTGTGTCATTAGCGAGCAGGAAGGTGTGAGGGGCCTTTCAGAAGGTCAAGTGGGCCTGCCAAAAAGGTGATCTGGAGCCACAGGAGAGTCCAAGAAGCCCTTCCCTGCTCCTGGGGACAGACAGACTGGAGATACCTACTCACCAGCAGAGGGAAGGGCTGGCAGAACCCATTGGTCCTGGGCTCCCTGTAGGGGCAAGCTGTGAGTCTTGGTCCACGGGATGCACCTGGGGGCTGTGGGGAATGAAGGCTCAGAGTCTTGGAAACCGTTGCTGTGGAGCGTGGGACTTCCAGACGGATGAGACGGTTAAGTTCCCGTGTGCCTGGTGCATCTCTCTGCCAAGCAGTGGGGATGTGAAATTGGTGCAGTGTTCTCTTGAGTCCTCTGTGAGAACATATGTTTATCTATTTTTGTGTGTGTGTCGGGGTCTCACTCTGACACCCAGGCTAGAGTGCAGTGGCACTATCACAGCTCACTGCAGCCTGACCTCCTGAGCTCAGGCTATCTTCTCACCTCAACCTCCCAAGTAACTGGGACTACAGGCACACACCACCACGCCTGGCTTTTTTTTTTTTTTTTCTTTTTGATAGAGATGATGTCTCACTATGTTGCCCAGGCTGGTCTCGAACTCCTGGACTCAGGTAATCCTCCCAGTGTGCTGGGATTACAGGTGTGAGCCACTGCACTAGCTGGTAATATCTTTTAAAGTGAAACCTGCTTCCTGTTTTCTCCTGTATGCTCTCCTGTATGCTCTTCACAAGGCTGAGGTCTCCATGGTCTGTTCCAGTGAGGACATCCTGCAGGGCTGAGTGTCTCTTGGTGGTACAGGAGAAGTATGATGTATCTCTGTGGGACCATAAAATTGATGGCGCCACATGGTGCCAGGACGCGGAACTGCGAGTTCCTGGTCCGTAACGTGGAGTAGGCATGGGGTCTGTCCGCAGGCACGGCAGGCCCTGGAGTGGTGGCGGGCTCTGCCCCCCAGGGCACGGCTGCATCTGCAGTGAGATCGGCCTCAGCCCAGGAAATGATCCCTCAGCATCAGCCCCCAGACACTGGTCAACACAGGCAGTGCCCTCTGTGTCCACACTCCAGGCTCCAGAGCTGAGGTCAGAGACCCCATCCCATCATGGTTTTGAATCAGTGGTGCTGGGTGCCAAGCCCTTGCTCACCCCGGCCCTGTCTCCAGCCCTTGGAGACTGGTGGGGGAGGAGGCAGGGAGGAGGCCCTGGTGGCTTCTCTGTACACGGGGTGGCTCACATCTGCTTCTCTTCCATGCTGTCCCCAGGCCAACCGGGATGCTGTGCTGAGCCGGATCCCTGAGCACAGGAGCGACCGCCTCATCAGTCTGCAGAGTGCATCTGTGGTCTACGACCTGCTGACCATCGCTCTTGGTAGAAGAGGCCAGTACGAGATGCTGTCAGAGGTACAGGCCTGGTGGCCTACCCAGTGGTGGCTGTGGGCATGGGGTGGCCTGGGGAAGGGCTTTGAGACCCAGTCGCTGGCAACCGCGTGACCTCAGGCTGGCCATTTAACTCTAGTTTCCTCCCTGTAGAGTGGACACGCACTAAGTGACCAGGCGTGGGGCTGAGGTACAATCTCTTGCCACCAGTGGCTTGTGGCCCTCCAGGCTGGGAACTGAGGGTGAGGGCAGCAGGTGTTTTTCAAGCGGTTTCTCTTCTGTTACCGAAAGCCCCCACCGTGACTTAATTTCCTTAGGAATCAGATTTTGCTTAATGTACCTGTGCATGACTCCTAGGGAAGGGGCGGGTTCAGGCAACATGTCATCAGGTCAGCTGGTATCAACTTTTGTCTAGAGGGTATGCTTGTTAGAAAGGCCCTGGTGGGTCCAGATCCCATCCTCGGTGCTGCTGTCTCTCCAACTCGGCTTCTAAGCAATGCTCAGATGGGACACAACTGCCTCAGGCCTCCAGGAAGCGACCATTCGTCCTGACTGTGGCTGTGTGATTAGGGTGTGGCCCAGAGCCCCAGTGCCATCAGGCAGGACCCAGTCAGTAACCAGATTGCCTGATCATTTCTTCAGCAAAATCACATGACGGGGAGAAAGGGAGAAGAAGCTGTTATGTCAAAAGGAGCTTTTCCCTGTTACTTGTTTCTCTTTCTAAATTTACATCCATTGCTACAGCCTCTGGCAGGGGGATGGGAGTGAGACGCAGTGACAGATTGGCTGAAGTCAGACCGGGGCCCAGCCAGCCCAGAGCTGCCAGTACAACCCCGGGCAGCAGGAGCCGGGAACCCTGAGCCCACGCGGCCTGGGCTTCTTTTTAGTCTTTGGCTCGGTGACTCTACAGCACAGTGGTAGCTCGACCCTCAGGAAGAGCAACCCCTCACAGACACTGGGAGTGGCAAGGAGCGCGGGCTCAGGAAGTGTCAGCCCTAGGCCCGTCACGCGCTCATTTCACACGTGTCTCCAGTGCTGCACGTCACCATGGTTTTCAGAGGCTCATTGTGGGCCCTGAAAGCTGTGTGGGAAGGAGCGCTGCTTTCCCTTTCATTTCAACAGTGGCCCCGTTGGCATGACAACCGTACTATTAAAAGTAAAGCAACAGGCCCCTCCCTGTGCTTTCAGAAAGAACCCAAGCTGCCAAGGGGGCTGTTTCTTGTGCTTGTCTGCAAATGGCTCCACTTTGACAGAATATTACAGAGTCCTCTTTGAAAGTTGTGTGGGTTCCCCCCAAAAGCAAGGCAGGTTTAAGGACAAGATGGTGTCTCCATCTTTCCTGATGAGCTCTTATTCACTTAGGCTAACTCTCAACAGCACTGTGGTTCTGAGGGTGCTGCTGTGTGACTCACAACGGCACCAGAGGGACACCCACACCTGCCTAATGTAAATGCCCGTGGTGCATCCAGCCAAGTCAGCCGAACGACCCATGGACGTCAGCTTCATTCAGAGTCGGGCACTCGTGCAGCCCCCTGTGTGCTGGGGAAGCCCGGCCTGGAGCTGGGTGCGGAGGCCCAGAAGGCATCAGTGGGCGGGACACAGCTGGAGCCACGGACTTCAGGGAAATCTGGGCAGAGTGCTGACCCACTGGGTACTCAGTACAGTCTCATGGAGTCCACCATGCCTCTAGCAGCATGCAAGCCATCCTGCCTGCTTTCCTTGTTTCACAGGTCCCTAGACGAGCAACGAGTATGTCACCCGGCAGCAAAATCACATGACGGGGAGAGAGGGAGAAGAAGCTGTTATGTCAAAAGGAGCTTTTCCCTGTTATTTGTTTCTCTTTCTAAATTTACATCCATTGCTACAGCCTCTGGCAGGGGGATGGGAGTGAGACGCAGTGACAGATAGACTGAAGTCAGACCGGGGCCCAGCCAGCCCAGAGCTGCCAGTACAACCCCGGGCAGCAGGAGCCGGGAACCTCTGAGCCCACACGGCCTGGGCCTCTTTTTAGTCTTTGGCTCGGTGACCAAAGCGAACATCATTTCATGGGAAAGGGTACAGGGAAGGGATGGGCCCAGTTTAGGGCAGAGTGTAGAACAGCTGCCTGCTCTGGCCCCACTCCATGGCTTGGTCCAAGGGGAAGCATCCCAGCCTCTGTTGGGGCCTGGGATCTCCATTCTCACAAGTGTGGTGGCGCTCTATTGAATCAAGGCTTGCGTTCTTGTGGCCCTCACAGAAAACACCCCAATGCCTGGGAGTGGTCCCAAACCTTGGTGTTGTATGCTTCAGAGAAGCAAGATATCTGGGTATGTACCTCAGGCTTTGATTTTTGCTTTTTAAAGAAATGCCATTTTAACCTTTGTAAATTATACAAAGTGCAGGGGCATTTAATAACATGAACGATGTTGTGCAACTGCTGTCACTATTTCCATGCTTTTTCATCATCCTCAACAGGAATTCCCATGAAGCAATAGCTTGCCATCTGCTCTTCCCGCAATACCCTGGTAACCTCTCACCTAATTCCTGTCTCCATGAGTTCGCTTGTTCCAGGTCCCTTGTAAAAGTGGAATCGTGCAATACTGGCCCTCTTATGTCTGGCTTACTCCACTTAACCTGACGTGTGTGAGGCTCTGCCGTGTTGTAATAGCACACCTGATGGCGTGGATCAGAATTCCATGCCTTGTCCTGGCTTAGTAATATTCCATTGTGTGAATTTGCCACGTGCTGTAATGGCCACCTGGGTCATTTCTGCCTCTTGGTGGTTGTGAATAATGCTGCAGTGAACGCTGGCATGCGCATGTCTGAGTCCCTGTTTTCAGTTCTTGGGGCATATGCCTCAGTGGAATTGCTAGGTCATATAGCATCCTGTGTTTAACCTTTTGCGGAACTTACGGACTGTTTTTCCTGGTGGCAGTGTCATTTTCCATTCCCACCAGCAGGAGCCGAGGATTCCAGTTTCTCCAATTCCTCACCAATACTTGTTGTTTTTAAATTAGAGCCATCCTGGCAGGGTGAAATGGCATCTCCTCGTGGAATTACTTTTTTTCTCCCTAATGACTAAGGATGTTGAACGTCTTTTCATGTGTTTATTAGCCGTTTGTGTATCTTCTTGGGTGAAGTGACTATTCAAATCCCCCACCCATTTTTAAATTGGGTTTTTGTCTTTTCGTCGCTTAGTTACAATTGTTCTTCATTTGTTGAAGATACTAAAGTCTGGCTAGACATATAATTTGCAAATATTTTCTCTCATTGTGTAGGTTGTCTATTTACTTTCTTGATATGTATCCATAGAAGTGTGGAGTTTTTTTCTCGGAATCTTAATTCTATTTCATTAGTCTATATATTAATACCTATCCTTATGCACCACCTTATTTTGATTTCTGGAGCTTAGTCAGCTTGAAATCAGGAAATTTGAGTCTTCCAACTTTGTCCTTTTTCAGGATTGTTTTGGCTGTTCAGTGTCCCTTGCAATTCCCTGTGAATTTGAGGATTGACTTTTCCGTTTCTGCAAAAAATAAAAATTTTAAAAAGATCACTAGGCTGTTGACAGGGGTTGAGTTGAGTTGGTAGGTCTCCCTGGATGACCTTGCCCCCTGAGCAGTGCTCATGCTTTAACATCAGATCTGAGCTTGAATCTCAGCTCGCTGTGTCACAAACTGAGTATGAACTTAAGCAGATTCCTTCACCTCTCCAAACCTGCCCCTTAGGTGGAAAACACAGGTAACAATAGGGCCTACCTCCTGAAGGTTATCGTGAGGATTAAAGAGATAGTGTAGCTGGGCGCTGTGGTGTGTCACTGTAATCCCAGCTACTCGGGAGGCTGAGGCAGGAGGACTGCTTGAGCCCAGGAGTTTGAGACCAGCCTGGGCAATATAGCAAGATCTCAATCTCCTATAGATAGTGCAAAGGAGAGAGAGATGCAATGTTCATGTTTATTATTATTATTACTGGTGGTGTTAAGAATTTGCTTCCTTTTTTTTTTTTTTTGAGTTGGAGTCACTCTGTCGCCCAGACTGGAGTACAGTGGCACGCTCCCAGCTACTGCAGCCTCGACCTGCGGGGCTCTGGCGATCCTTCCGCCTCAGCCTTCCAAGTAGCTAGAACTACAGGCGCGTGCCACCACACCTGGCTAATTTTTTGATTTATTGTAGAGAGGACATCTCGCCAAGTTGCCCAGGTGGGTCTTGAACCCGCGGGCTCAGGCAATCCACTCACCTCAGCCTCCCAAAGTGAGGGATTACAGTGAGCCCGGCAAGAATTTGCTTTCTATATAAAAGTCCCCTTTGTAATAACCCTGGCAGATGGTCCTTGATCCTTATAGGGAGGTAAGTCAGGCAGGTCTAGATTCAATTCCTGGCTCTGCTCTTTCATAGCAGCGAGCTTTGGGGAGCAATTCCCAGCCGCTCTGAGCTCCCAGCTAGAGATTGACTTGGAGCTAAGCAGACACTAGGTGTGCAGTGGCCAGTATAGCTCTACTGTGGAGTGTGTACTGCACTCCTCATGATTCTCAGGAAGAGTCCCTCTAAATGTGTCTCCTGGTCACGTCCAACCTCTGTCTCATGAAGCAGGAGGGTAAGTCCTGTCCCACCGCTGGGACAGCTATGATGTTTATGAGTATAGTGTGTTGTCTTCCTTTCCCCAGCTTCAAGTGCCCAATTCTTTTAGTCCAGGGGTCAGCAGACTTCTTGATGAAAGGCCAGATACTAAATGTTTCAGGCTTGGAAGGCAAGAGGCAAAACCAAGGGTATCGTGTAGGCATCACAAGAGAGAAAGCAAATTTCCACAGAGTTTTTGTTGATGAAATTCAATGTCATCCTGTAGTTTAAGTGTTTGCCAAGGCAATAAAAGGTTGCGGCTCCTCTGCTCAGAGTAGTATTGCTGTTTTAAAACAGACGAGAAATGGGCAGGGCAGGTATGGACGCCTTTGCTCTGTTTTATGCCCACCGTAAGGGGAGAAAACTTGGCAGCTTTGGCATCTGTTTTTGTAACATGGGAGAAGGTACTTTCATTTGCAGCTCAGAGTC